ACAGTTTTCTCAGACAGGCATGAACATTTTCGCACTTTTCTCTCTTGTTTAAGCCATCTCAAAGTTCAAACCTTGTTGAAAAATCAGTGCAGTATTATAGATTGAAATCGAAGGCACCCGCAGGTGACAACATTTAGTCGACATTGTCTGTTTGTTGCGGAGAAAACTTACAAACATACAGTACAGCACTTCAGAGTCACACTGCTAGCGATCGAAGATTTATGTAACTTAACATTGATTGAAATGGTCAACAGCCAATTAGGACGCAGAACACAATGCACAGTAAAAAAAAAAAAAAAATGCAATATTGCACAAAATTAAAATCCGCAAAACAGCGAGGCCGCGAAAGGTGAACCACGTTATAGCGAGGGACAACTGTACACTACAATTTCGGCCTCTTTAGGTTTCTACTGGCATGCATTTGACAGGGGCAGTAGCAATATTTTGGAAAGGGAAACCTCTCACACACTCATAAGAGGAAGCTGCTTACTTTTTCCTGGCACTGCATCTTCCACAGGTTACACACAGTGACACTGATTGACCAATAATGACAGTGTAACACAAAAAAATGTTCATTACAATAGAAATCCTGCTAGTAATTGTCAGCTTATAGTCAATTTTACTGTCATTTATTTAGGATGCCTTGTTATCTTCTTCTCTTTTCTCACTTTCTTAATCAACATTTCATACTTGTCAGTATTATGAAGTATTTGCTCTGACTGATTACGTAGGATCCCAAAAGACTTCATTCTTCTCACTGAATTTATGTCAATCTAATTCTTGACATTTTGACGCCTTAGATATTATGGACACCTGAAATAAATTACACCTGTTCAAAAAAACAAAAAACTGGATTACACAAACATATTTCATATTTCACCAGCAGGTTGGATGTCTGTTTATTTTTGGAGATAAGAAAGAAATGTGCTGAATGATATTTCTCTCTGTGGTAAAAATGCATAATTTTGATACTTTTCATATAATCTGATATTTGTAGTGGTATTGTGACTTCCCTAGAATCTGAGACATTCAGCTCAGCCAGCTAAATGACATTTTGGCCCACAATCTTATATGTTCCTCAGTTTTCAGTTGATGCAAAGGAGAACATTGTGAAACACAGGTTCATTACACTAACCCAAGTCCACTAGGGAGACCATATTGAGAATGGTGAACACACAAAACACAGATGCCAATGAGTAGAGGGCATCAGGACTATTCTTTGGTCTTACACAAGTCAGTAAACACTGGAACAACTGCTAACTGTGCTCCTCTGGATACTCTCCTGAGTTGAAGAATACTTTTGAAGGACTGCTGTCTGGTCATTGAGCTTTACTACTTTGCTATGGAACATTTTAGTAATTTTTCTGTTACAACTTAACATGCTTGTGGTGTTACACTAGAATTACAGAATTATGTTTTTGAGTTTTGCCTTAAATTACAGTTCAAACAAGTGTGTCACAAACTTTCTGTGTTAAGTGGAAGTGCACGTTTGTAATTGTGCAATGCTTAAAAAAATTGATTTAAAGAAGTATGGTTTTGTTATTGTACCGCTTTTAAAATGTTTCAATATTTTAGATATTTTTGTTTAAAGTACAAGGATTTACAAAATCCCTTTATCATTGACAGAAGTCATCTTGCCTATAGACCAATACATATTTTTTAAGGTGGTCATTCAATCTCAAATCAGCCAATGTTAAGAAAATTTCCTGCTTGACCTTTTCTAATTTGCATAAAGATTTTGTCGTGTTTGAACATAATCAGTACTGTGAAATTTTAGGTTCGCATCAATAATATCATATCAGTTTTATTTTTTTGGAAAAACTTTCCACTGACCCACTTTCAGGTCTTCTTTAAGAACACATCAATGTTCAGTATTTGAACATAAATATTTCAAACTCCATTAAAGATAAAAGTCTGTATTTTCTCTTGTTGTTTTTTACCATCAAGTTTTGGCTAGTTAAAATATGAAAAAAAAGTCCAATGTTTGTTCACAGCAATTTAATTTCTGAATGATATGTAGTTGAATTTTACAATACCAAAAAAATAAACCATATAGAATACTTGTCACAAAAAAAGGGGAAAAAATGCATATCAGATGCTATATATGGCAATGCTTGAAAATGAACATCTCAAAAACTGTACTCAAATTAGAATAAAAATAATAATCTATTTAAATTTCTAGAACATTCTCCAATTTGCAATAGACATATTATGGTTCAGTTTGGACATATATATTGGAGCATCTAATTTTTTATTACCATTGGCCTACCCTTGGTAAGCTTAAGTTCCCAAAAGAAAAGTATTTTATTTGAGTTTTACTACTGTGATTCAGATTTATAAAGGGGTTTATAAAATAGCATAAAAAACATAATTAATTTGAGCTGGGTTAGAGATTATTTTTCCTGATTGGTCCCAAATCTGTGTAATGTCTTTACACTGTGTAATGTCTTTAAAATTTGTACAAAATATGTAATATGTACTATGTAATTTTATATGTATGTAATATGTATATGTAATATGTACTATGTAATTTTAGTTTCATATATCAAGTACTTTTCAAGATATATTCTTGTGAAAAAAGGTCCGTCAACCCGCTTTAAAACTTTTTTTCAAAATCTACAGCAATTACATTTATAATGATTACTGATAAATTTGATCAAAACATTTCTTTTAATAAAAAGGTCAGTTGACCCACTTTCACACCATTTTTTTTTCACGCATTGTTATAACAATTCTAGATGTGATGTAAAATATATGCATGTTTCCCCAGTGATTATTTTTTCAGATATTTGCTTTATTTTGCAGTAAATTCAACTACATATAATTCAGAAATTGTCACTGTCTTCTTCTAATTGTTCCAATATATTTTTTATTAGTGTGTACTGAAATAGGCTGCTTAAATTTCATAACTTTTTCATGTATCCAGACCAAATTTAAAATCCAGATTTTTTTTATATATATACTATATAAAAAAACATATACTAGAAGGAACAGAATTTATTTCATTTGATGGACTAGTTACACAATATGGGATCAACAAGAAAAGATTTTTAGAATATCAACAAATTAAATCCATAGTAAAAAAGAAATTTAAACCGGGTCAAGTTGAACTACAAACACCACCAAGTGTGGTTCAATTTCTTACTCTTAAACCCCCCAAATTACTATCCAAAATATACAGAATGCTTTCTAAAACAGATGAATCAATATCACTTCCTATTGCAAAATGGGAAGCGGATTTATCAGTTAACTTAGACCTAAACTTCTGGTCTCAGATTTGCTTAAAAACCTTTCATCTAATTAGAAATCCCAGTCTTCAATTAATTCAATACAAAATATTACATAGAGTGCACTATACAGGTCATCGGATGTTCAAGATGGGCTTTACGTCTACCAACAACTGCTCACACTGCCAAACCAATTCACCGGACAATTATATCCACGCTCTTTGGTTCTGTCCACCAGTTCAGAAGTTTTGGCGCGAGATATGTGAAGACTTATCGAAGTGTCTGAAATGTAACATTCCAACTTCCCCCTTAGTGTGTTTGTTGGGCAGCTTAGATAATGTCACTTCAGAAAAGAATATCGCCCATATGATTTTCACTGCCCTATGCATAGCCAAGAAAACAGTCCTCATGAACTGGAAAAATAAAAATAATCTTAATTCTAACCAATATAGAAATTATCTATTAGATTACATTAGTCTTGATACAGCCTCTGCCACCACATCAGATCAATTGCTCTGGGCTCCTTTGATCAGCTCCATCACCTAGTGGGGGTGGGGGGTCATAGTTTGGTCCCGCCTTCACTGTTGTGATTGGTGTGGGGGTAGGGACAGGCTTAGGGCGTCGGGGGGGTTCCCCGGAGGCATCTTCCTTGGGGGGCTCAACCCGGGGTAGCGGTCATGTCCGGTTAGGGGCTCTGTTGGCTTTCCGGTGACTGTTTCCTCGCGGCTGCGTGCAGCGGGGCTAGGGGAGGGTCTGTGCTGACGGCCTGGAAGACCACAGAATACAAGTGGGTGATCACAGAATTTTCTGTGGTTAAGAAAAACAATGTCACAACATTGAACTAAGTGAAGAACACTCTTTAGGAGTTACATGTATAACTGTCAAAATCTACAATCATGCGACACCTTCACGAAGTAAAATAGAGACAGTTTATAACAAGGAAGGAATCTCTTATTACAATAAAGAACAGGTAGACCAGATTAGACTTTGCCAGAAAACATTTATATGGGCCTCCACAGTTCTGAAAAAAAGAAAAGGAAAAAAAAACATGTGTTCGGGCAGATGAAACCAATAATGATCTGTACCGGAATTACTAAGAAGCATCCAAAGGATGTTTGCCTATGAAACATGGTTGAGGCAGTGTTATGGTATGCATGGTTCTCAGTGGAACCCAGCCACTAATTTATATTGATTTATTAAGCCAAATGCAGCAAAACTGATGGAGCAGTGCTTAATGGTGCCATTGGCTAGTGATCCAAAGCAAATGCAACAGCTGCCAAAGATTTTCTAAAGGCAAAGAAATGAGAAATTCTTTAATGGTCAAGCGAACCTGATCTCAACCTAACAGAGTAGCTTTTCAGTTACTGAATACAAAACTGAAGGTAGAGAGACCCACAAACAAGCAGCAACTAAAGATGGCTAGATAATATGAGACACAAATTCTCATGATCCTGGGTCCTTTTGACCCAGCGTTTTGTGTTTTCTGTTATTGTGATTTTGGTTCTGTTCTTCCTCTGTTTAGTGTTTATTCGGTTCTGCCCATGTATTCCTGTGTTAAGTCCATGTTTCTTAGTCCGTGTCCTTGCATGTGTAAGTTCCTGTTTTATTGAGAAGGTCTCCGTCTTATGTCAGTGTGTTCTATTTATGTTTCCCCTGCCTCGTCAGCTGTTATATCTTTCAGGTGTGTTCCCCTCCTGTTTCCCATCCCCTGATTCCTGGCGCGTGTATTTATAGTGTGTGTTACCTCGTCCTTGTTGCTGGTTCGTCTGTGTTATTTGGTGTTTTCGTGTCTGTGAATCTCCTGCCGTCATTCTGTGAATTCTCCCTGCAAGTTGCTTTCTCTCGTGTTCAGGTTTGGTGTTTAGGTTTTAGTTTTCTCAGTGTAGTTTGTCTAAGTTCGGTTTCTCGCCACACTCTCCTTTTGTTTGTTATCACTCGAGTTTTGTGTCAATAAAGCCCTCTCATTTCACTGCATATCCGTATCTTGGGTCCTTTGATAAATTCACACGGCTTGCCCCGGCAACCCGTGACAGAAATTCCTTTGGGGTTGCATCAGGAAGGCTATCCAGCATAAAAATCTGTGAAATAAAAAATGGAGTACCCTCTGTTGAATCAGGGAGTGGCCAAAAGTAGCTATAGGATTTCTTGAAATAATTCTAAAATAATTTATTTAGACTGATATGTATTACCAATTACTTTTTGGTGGAGATTGTGTCATTGTACAAATACGTACTTTACCTAGCTGGATTTATAATTTTGCAATCTAATCTTTCTTTTACAAGCTTTTACAAATGTTGGTTTCATCTGTCTAAACAGTGTTATTTCAAAACTGGGCAGTCTTTCTTGAAATGTTTTTCAGCAAAGTCTAATCTGGTCCTTTTGTTCATGAGGTTAGGAAAAATATCTTGGGGTAAACCCTCATACAGCATCACATTCACTAAGTTGTCTAGTGATTATAGACTCAACAAAAATATTCCACATGTTGTGAATGTTGATAAAGGATTTTTCTTTGTTATTACATTTTTGATTTAGACACTCCTGAAAGTTTCTACTCTGGTCAAGAATTCTCATTAACAGCTTCCAAATCCAAATCCAAGTCACATCTTTATGACTTAACTTCATATCCATTAGTTTACAAAGTTGAAACTAAGCAAAAGGTGTTACTGTCCGTTATATTTATGCAAAAACATGGATCCGACATTCCACAACTGTCATAATGAAGTTCTTTAAGTATGTTTACGGGTGAATTTGTTTTGAGTCTGAATTTTAAAAAGGGCATTGCAAGAAAAACAACTGAAGTTTTGCTTGATCTAAAAAAATGTTTTACCTTTTGGTATGCTGAACCTTTTAGTCTATCTCCATTGGGGTGACGTCGTCATCCATGGAGGAGACAAATGGTCCAGCGGCACTGAATGGAAAATAAAGGCAAATGCATAAACCACAACACCTGTTTATTTAAGCAGTGGCAATAACAGTATGTTGTAAATTAATTTTTAAACAGTACATAATGGAACTTGCTTAAAATTAAAAATTAAATGTCTAGTCTATTCTACAAAGCAGAATTCAAAGCTTATTGTAAGCTGTTAAATCTGCTTAATTCTGCAGAGTATTTTAAGCTTACTAGTTTTCTACTTTTCTACTAGTTTATACTAGTTCAACAAAAAGGTTATCCCTCTCAGGCTCAAATTAAGTTTTTGTTGCTAATGCACAAAAGAATACCTGCAGTGGTACTTCTGAGTAAAAAAAAACCTCATAAAATATGTATGTGGGGTAATCAGGTTGTTTCAAATCTGCAATGCCTGCCTTGAGAGGGTTATACATCTAGCATGTATACAAACAGGTACTGAATATAGATCCACAATAATGTAATGAAGTTTGTCAGTTTGTGTTTAATGTAATAAACACAAACTGTGTGTTTAATGTAATAAACACAAACTGACAATGTAAGTAGAAAAGTGTGTAAGTACCCGGCCAGGAACTGGTTGTTCACCGTAAGCAGTCCAGTCCATCGGTTCTGGTTCCTGGAATGCAAAAAAAAGAAAAACAAACAAAAAACACATGATTCATATCACATTGTGTCGCATTGTAGTGCTATTATACTGCTATGAAAAGCATGTTGTCCTGGATATGGTCTGTTTGTTGCTAAACCCTATGAAAACCTTACTTCGTGGGCAGCGCTAGTAAACATATTTGGCGTAATGGGTGATAGTTTGCCCTTGATCACAAGGTTAAACTCAACCTGCAACTAAACAAAAAAGCTTTATGGAGTTAAATATACTATATAATGGTTATATTATAATACCAAATACTTTTTAAAGCTAAAATTCAACCTTACATATGAGTGATGTGGAATGGCAAGATACACGTTGATAGCGTCCATTTTTCCGGAAGTATGTCAACACGTACAAACTTGGCGTGCTATCATGTCTAACTATTCATGACACAAATGAATGCTATTCACAGATATATATGTACATAAATGCTCGTCATGCAAAACTATTAGTTATTGTATTTTAGTATTTTTAAAACCATTTAATTCCTAATATTTTTTAATTTATGTTTTAGTTTTCTGTTTCTGTTGAAAGCATATATTTGTATTTTACAAAGTAAACACAATTTATGTTTAAATAATGAAAAATATAAAAGCACTAATTTTCTTTTTATGAAAATTATTAACTTTTAACAAGATTTTTAACTAGGTATTCCCTCTATGCTGAAGATGCACTATTTAACATGTGCTCTCAAATGAAGTGTACACAGTCTCTCACTCTCACTTTGGTTTAGCTCAAAACGCACTTCTTCTTTTTGTCTAAACAGTGTACAGTACGATGAATGTGGTTTACGGTCCACACTTCCCCAGTATCTCAAATAAGAGAAAAAGAAGATAGCCTTCCTCACTGGCAGGATTAGATGCATATATTAGATGCTTCAAAGAGTCATTTTGTAATTATCAATAGCAACTTCAAAGTTCAGGAAGAGGCCAGCTGACTTCAGTATGTATTTGCATGTATTTTTGCATCTCTAGCATGTTTTTTGGGGGGTTTTTTTTGGTCTCACAAGTAGGTTGTGGATGAATAGTCAAATTTTTTAGGAAGTGTCAGGGTGCTGGGTTTTTAGTTTTGAATTCATGATTCTTTCCTTTACATTATGAAGATGATTTAAGTTCAAGCTTTATATAGTTTAATCTTGAGTTTGGTTCTTTGAGTCTATGTCTTTGAGCTTATTTGTATTTCTACTACAGTCAGGTTCCTTTTGTGTCTTTGTCTCATCCCTGTGTTTCCTGTGAGAGTTTGTCGTGTTCTCTGAGTTTATGTTTCCCCAGTCATGTCTTTATTTATTCTCTCTCTGTCTGATTTTTTTTCCTGTTTGTGATCTCCCTATGTGTCTCACTCCCTCTCTCTGTCTCTGTCTCACTTACCTGTTCCTTTGTTCCTCTCCTTGTGTTTCATCCTTGTCTCCTCAGCCTGTCTCCTCATGTTTGCTCCATGTCTCCCTTAATGTTCCAGGTTATACTCCTTTTCCCAGAAGTGAGGGATTTCGTCAGCTGTAAAGGAATCAGTTGCACAGAGGTGAGCTGATTACCACCAGCTTCTAGGTGTGTCAGACAGGAATGCAGGTAAACAGGAAGAACCCTGCCTTTGAAGCAAACTAGGAGTTTTACAGATGGTTATGGGAGGCGCAGGAGAAAATGTCAGCTCGACACAAAAGGATATCATGAAAGTTTCTATTTCTAAGTAAAGTGACCCAGTATTATCTGCATGGTAGTCCATAAAAAGAGCTGGGTAAAATTCCCTAAATTTTTAGGAAAAGTGCTTAAATGCTTTCTTTAATAACTTATTTACCAGAGGACACATGAAACCATTCTTTATGACAGGAAAGAAGATAATTCTGTTCCACAATTCATAGCCATGCACCCTCACACTGTTCGCGAAGACAATCAATAAATATGCCAAAGTATTGCAGATCATGAAATGTTCTTTAGAAGTATATTTCCATATCCTGCTGATACATGTTGAATTTTCAACAACAAGTTAACTATAAACGATAGTTAATTCTCCTACACAGTCTTCCTTAAACTCATGACGTTTTCTACTAAGTTCAAGGAAGAGTGACAAGGAAAAGGGAGTAGGTGGCCTGTCTGCCTGATAGACAAAGTTATTGGTCTGTCAGCCTTTATCGCTCCTTCTGGCCAACTGGCTGATCTCGGGGGCTCTAAGTGTTAAATCATACCTTTTGGTTTATTCAACTCAGCTGTTATATTTCAACAACACATGAATATTGTTGTTAATGTTATCAATGATTGTGCTGTTGGTTTAAACAATGGGTCCTTTGTCACACATTACCCCTTTTTGCATTCTTTAGTAACTTCTGTTGCTGCTGTAAGCAACAGACAGCTGACAGCTGTTGTGGAAATTTATTAACAAAGCCTGCAGACACAATGAGCAGTTAAAACCCAACACTTTATTTCCCATGCATGAGGAGAGACGTCAGTCACGGGGCACTGAAAGTCGTCTCTGACAATGAACAGTTCAGGTCCCTTTTAAACACTGTCACGGAACAAAAGGCTTTTACAGTTGCAGTTCACACCTTGGCTCTAAACAGAAAACTCTCTATCACCTGTGTGAATCTCCCCCACTCTGGGGTCAAGTCTTCCTGTGTGAGCTTCCGTCTCCTGGGAGACATTCACCAGTTTCTCACCGTCTGTTTCCCAGCGTGAATGAGGTGTGAACCAGACATACTAAACTAAATAACATGAAAGCATTTCATCAAGACAATACATTAAAGGACAATACGCTAAAGAGAAATCCCACAACACAGCTCACAAAATGGGTAACTCTTTGAGGCACTCATAACTATTAACTATTATTAGTAACTATTATTAACTATTATCTCCCGTTTCTCTTGTGTGCTGTGCCATAGTGTGTAATCCCACCTTGTCCAATTTTATAGTTCCTGGTTGTTAGGTTTCAGTTTTGTTTCTGTGCTAGTATTTCTAGCTCCCTAGTTCAATTGTATATCCTGAGTTCTAGTTCTTAGGTTATGTTATTTGGCTTCCCTGTGTTCTGTGTTGTGTACTCTGTGCCTTCCTGTCCCATGTCTCAGGTCCTAATGTTCTGTCTCCCCTGTCTCTGTTCTAAGTTTACTTATCTTAAGTTCAGTCAGTGTGTTTCCTGTTTTACTTTGAAGGTCCGTGTCTTATGTCAGTGTATTCAGTTTTGCTTCCTCCATACTACCATCTAAATTATGATTTTACAGATTTAATGTTTGAAAGTGCCAATAAACTTTCAGAAGCTATAATGAAATGTTTGTTACTTATTTTTTTAAATCCACTGTTATGCAAATTAACTTGGCACAAAAAGGAAATTTATGTTTGGTTGATTATTATGTTGTTATAACAATGCCTCTTAGCAGTAAATCTTATATATTTGGAAAGCATGTTTATTTCCCCTTAAATGGTGCCACATTTTAAGGAAAATGAGTGTGTAGGTTGAGCAGCAGAACTGAGTATGCGGATTGTGCCCATAGAAAAACTTGCCAAATCTTCCCTGCCAATGCCAAACAGCTTAATCTGCTATTGACTCTGGTTTGGTCCTGTTTACTGGATTGGATGATTGAAGTCTGCAGAAACAAGACAATTCAAGAACTTATTCATTTAACAAACAGGCGTTTCAATAGCATATGGAAGAACCATACAAAGCCACAACAACTTGACACTTCTTTCTCATGCTAGTCACCAGCTTGGTTCCACACTGCTGTGGGATGGCTTCTGGTTCTTCAACTAGAATTTGTCACAAGTCAGCCAATTGTTTCTGTTTGTCACTCTGGCACAAACAGCACAGCATCCCACAAATGTTCAATGGGTTTGAGGTCAGGACGGCAGGCAGGCTATTCCATCCTCTCCACTCTAAATTCTGGAGGTAGTCTCTGATAAACTGAGCTTTGTCATCTTGGAGGATAGGTTTTGGTCCCAGAACTTAGAGACATGGGATTATCGCTGGTTGCAAACTCTCATCTTGATATGTAACTGCACTGAGATTGCCTCCAATTATGACAAGTCTTGTTTCTTCAGTGAGGGAGATGCTGCCAAACATGATCACACTGTCTCCACCAAAAGCTATGACAGTCTGAACGTACGATCTAGCTGCTGTAGGCAGAATCCAGATTCAATGTTCCTCCACATGTTTCCTGACTCAGTGTAGGTCAAGCTACTTGAAAAAAGTAATTAGTTACTAATTACTGATTACTTCTCCAAAAAAGGAATCCCATTACTTTACTGATTACTTATTTTCAAAAGTAATTAGTTACTTCGTTACTTCGTTACTTTTCAAAAACATGATACATAACCATAATACACAATAAAGCAATAGACCTTTCAGCCCAATTCTATTTTCTCTGCATAATCCATCATATAACATTGAATCAAATGGAAAGCCTCTTTCTAACAATTGTTTTATTTGTTTTAATCTTTTAATTTTATGCACATTGCATTAAGCAAAAAATTTAATTATATGCAGCTGTTTTTGACTTGAAGAAATTGTTTAACATTTAAACCTATTTTCTGCATATTCCAGCATATAAAATAAAATAATGTTTTGTGTTTACACTCACTCTTTTAAATAGATGCAAGTAAAACACAGCAAAATATAAATCAAATCAAGTAGTTCCATAACTACATGGAAGTAAGTACTTCCATGCTTTAAACGCTGCATGGTCGTTCTCACGTCTGTTGCTGCCACAGGCATTGCACGTGCTTACATCATTGTCATGAGACACTCTCACAAACAAAATCATGACAGTTTATGCAGTAACGCAGCGTGCTTATAGGAAAATAACAGTAATCTCATTACTTTTTTGCAATAGTAATCCCTTACATTACTTGTTAATTGAAAAAAGTAATCAGATTACAGTAATGCATTACTGCCCATCTCTGTTTCTGACAGCAGCGCAAACAGGCCTGATGGTGAAGAGTAGTCATAGTAGGCCTCCTTGCAGCCCTGTGAGTTGGGACATTGGCTGTGTGCAGTCTGTTCCAGATTGTCTCAGTATCTCATTCTGAAAAATCTGTAAAAGACTGCCTACTGCTCCTAAGTGCCGACAGGGTGAGGAACCAGTCATCCTGTGGTGTCATCTTTTTAGAACACCCACTTTGCGGCCTGCCTGTGACATCTCCCATTATCTGAAACTCGGTCTTCAATTTCGAGATGATACTTGGGCTCACTCCAAGTAATGCTGCAACTTGTGTTCACAGAACACCAGCTTGAAGTTGTCCTATGGCACAAGACCTATCCAGATCAGTCAAATATGGCATACTTGGAGCAGACAACAAGTGACGCTATAACAGGGTCCATGCTCACAGGTGTTGCCAGTCAGGCAGCTGAAGCTCAAAAAGAAACTTAAAACAAGACTCAATAGCAGAATAAGCTGTTGGGCAATGGCAGAGAAAATTTTGGCAAATTTTTAATGGGTGCAACTCACATACTCAAATCTGCCGCTCAACCCACAAATGTATTTTTCCTACAATTTTTGCACCACTTAAGGGGAAATAAACAAGTTTTACAGTCGTATGAGATTTATTGCAAATAAGTATTTCAACAAACTTTTAGTGCAGTTTATTTCGTTTCTGTATATTTCTATTCCACTAGATGTCAGCATTCAGCATGCTGAAATATACTTTGACTAATGTGTTTAAACGCGGCCTGAATGGCAACAACCAGATTGTTTGTTCTCTAAGATCACCAACATGTGCGAACTACTCGGGGACGATTGTTTTATAGAGTTAACACAGAAATTACATCCATTTACTTATAAAAGTGAAATAATGTGGTAGTTGTAGTGTAGTAATTATTGAATCTCTGTTAGTATAAAATATATATACTCTTATTTCTTCCAGTAAACAACTAAAGGTTGGGCTGCATTGCTTTATTGTGTTGTGCAGTATCCTGTAGTAGTACTTACAGTACTCACCCTTATTTTAGAATATTCCAAATTAAAAACACTGTTTATTTGATAACGACCAATCGTAATTAGAGCAGGTACTGTATCCTAGTCCTGATTGGATCTTTCCCAACAAGACCCGCCCCGCCCCCCTCCTTTCCCTCTGCGGCTCACCAAGCACATACACACACAGCAGCAGCACGCGGGCAGGGGCGGAGAGGGAAAACAGCAACTTCGGTTTCACCTTTTAAAAAGCCCACAGTATGCTTACCACGCGAGTATGATGAGGGACAACCGCGAGAGGAGGATGAAATAGTTGTTTTAAAACAGTTGTCAGCTCGGACTCTGTCACCTTTCGTCCTGCTGTACGCGATTAACTCCTGAGCTCCCCCCGTGACATGAAAACAGTCCGCACGCGCCTGATTCCGTAGCGTTCACTTGTCATCTGCGAGCTGCCACGATGGTTAAATGTCCTGTTTAATGGTCGAGGTACGTAGACTGTGATTTTTTTCCCCAGCTGTGTCGGCTGCTTGCCTCTAAACAGACAGACTTGTTTTGTAATAGGCCTTAACGGCAGAAAGCCGTTACACCGTAACGACCTGTGAACAGTCTTTGGCGCTTAAATGAGAGTTTGTAGTGAGCGA